TTATAATTCGAAGTCTTATCAATAGTTATAACCTAGAAAACCTCTGAATTCTAACCTAGAAAAGTTTGCTCCTTTCTCACCTACTTTTTTCTTTGTTTCTAACTTTTCCTCTCTTTCTTTATTTTTCTGCCTGTTCTGCCCATCAAGCGAAAAATATAAAAAACTATACTCTAAAAGCTATATTTATTTAATTTCCTTCTAYTTTTATTAACCTTTTCCAAGAAATATTTCATTTCGATACTTTTCCACGCACTTCCATTTTAATTTCGAAATCATATAGTGAAATGAAATAACTAAAWCGAACACTTTGTAAAATAAAAAATATTTTAAACATTTTCTGTCACTAAATACAACTGACAACAGCTTGCGTTAGCAGTAAACTCTCTGTTTGCTGTCTCTGAGAAATACTCATTATCTGCATATAAATATTTAAGCATCGTTCGCAATTATTTATAAACGCGCTTTCAACATTCATTTGATAAATTTATACGCACTACGCTCTAGTTATATAATATTTTAATTGTACAATAATTTTTGTTTTATTTTGTTATAATTTCTTATTAGTATTAATTTAGTATATACAATTATTGTTCATATCTAACATAAGACGGATTTTTGAATAAATTTATTTTTATTTCAACAAATTGCGATTTTTTTAACGCTCAATTTAACTTTTTTTTCAAAGGCGGCAACCACTTTTAAGCGAAGGTGCAAAAACAAAGAGTTGTAGATCCATAATTCCGACCTGTTTTTTCTAATATCTTCGCGTAAACGACACTCAAATAGTATTCCTTGTTGACGGTTTGGCCGGTTGGAAGGAGTTCTGAGTGTACCACAGCTCGATAATTGAATAAAACTGTCAACATAATCTTGACTTTTGACCTGCTTTGACGTAGGTTTTTCGGCTCTGCCTCACCTTTGTCACGATATTCGGTCGATTGATCGTCTGTTTCCGGGTCGCAAGCATAGATCCAAGACTCACCGCCAGTGAGAATACGTTTCATGACATCCTGGTATTCGGAAAGCATTGTTTCGCTGACTTTAACGAGAGATTTTTGAACTCATCGTACTTTCACTTTTCTTATGCCATTTCAAAATGTTTTTCATTGATCTTTCCGATATTCCAACAATGGAAGTAAAATCTCTGACTGTTACTCGTCCATCCACAGGACTAATTCCTTTATTTTATTGACGTGTTGATCATCAGTTTATGTTGATTTTCGTCCTGGACGTGGTTCGTCGTCAACGCGTTYTCGACCCTCTTCGAATAATTTGTACCAATCAAAAACAATTGCTCGTGACAATCACTCCATCAGTTGAGCGGCAACATTGCGATGAGTTCGCTAATTGYTCAAAGCTAGTGAAGGAGTATCTGTCCTCGTTATTGTAACGGCAGAAGTAATTTAGAAGAAMGCTGCCGAGTTAACAGTTTTTGGCCGGAAAACTCAAGGTCCGTTCCGGTTCCGTAAACTTCATCAACAAATTCATTTGGTTGCTTAGTCATAGCGGAATCACTGGCAACTACAAAAACGATGGGCTGCCCAGAGGGGCACCTTTGCAATAACTTTTTTCGTTCTAGCACTTAGCCAATGAACCTTGCGTGCGCTTAGTAGGCTTTATTCGAAAAAATAGCCTCTATCTGACTCCGACATCCTTTTGGCCTGGAATATAACAAAGATCTCTTGCCTTTAACAAAATTCATCTTCCCGCAATCGTAGGGGTTTCTTTCTGGTCACTGTTCAATAGGCATTCWTGCGTTAGGCCTAATAATTGTGTCGGACAATACTCTTAAAAGTTGTATGGAGAAGGGTGAGGTAGAAATATACTGGCACAGCATTTCGGCAACCTTACCTATATTTTCGGCGAACTAGAAGCTATAATCGACATAAATTTRTGATATAATCGGGTCATATTATACAGGTGCTAACAGTCTTGGCTTTCCAAGTGAGATCCATGTTAGCATCGAACTTTTAGCCTAAGTCAATATAACTATTAGCTTTACCAAACCTCTTATAATTGTAGTATTACTCCTCACAATGCACCAAAAAATATTCAAATCGGTCGATCATATGTTCGGTATCGTTTTTTTATAATGAATGATATTAGAGAACACAATATATTGTTTTTATATTATGAATTGCTTGAAAATAGTTTCTCTAAGGTTTTTTTTTTTAATTTTAGCAAGACGGTCCTTTCGTGTTGAAAGCTTGAATTGGTACTATGTTAATGAAATGTTGAYTTCCTGTACTTTGAAGACACCACAGCTATCTACACTCAAATTTCTGCATACATACTTATTGCATAGCAAAAACATAGTACGCAGTTAGGAATAAAGCAGAATGCAACGCTATTGGCTGAAGTCAATGAAATGCATTGAGACGCATTAGGGAGCGCACCCTAAATGCTGGCTGACACAAAGGGATGAAGATTTATTCAAGGATAAAGCATAAGAGAGGAAAAAAATTAATGCACACCAAATGACGACAAAGTTTCCATAAATTAATTAAAACGAGAAAGAATATCAGAATGGACTGAGGGGAGATAAATAATTAAAACTGATAGCGCCGGAGAGTTCTTAAAGTGAGAAAATATATTAAATTAATGATACATGAATCATGCATTTTAAGACCATTTAATCGGATCAAGTTAGCTTGTAGATATGTTTCGACAACCTGTTATTAATATAGCTCTCATAGAAATCATCTCATCTCTATTGACTAAAAACAGGCGATTTTSTCAAGCTTCTGCTGAAACGAAATTAAAAATGATTCGACCTAAACAGAAGCAGGTAATAATYACTTGGTGTCATGCTCCGACATAAGATGAATGATAAGAAGTTTCTTACCCAACTTCCAGAATGGTTTGGTGACAGCATAGATCCGCATTAAAACTTTGGTCGTTGGAGCAATATTGTAACGAAATTCGGTTSATGAGTGATTTTGGGCCAACTCATGTGAAAAACCTGTTTCGAGCCTCATCTTGTATCCACACTTACATGACAGTCGGTCTCAAGGATTTTCAGTTATTCAATTGTATATTACATATATGAATTATAAAATGTTGAGCTTCCGCTGTCATATATAACCCATACATAAGCATTTTATAAAAAAACTTAAATTTTTTTCAATATGAAACGTATAAAAAGTGATGCTACATTATTTTTTGTATTATCATTTTAGGCGACAATATTTAGTTGCGCTTAAAACGTTTTCACTTAAACTTACTTACTTCTACTCGCTGTCCTTTACTATCCATTACTTGACAAGAGCATTAAACACACAAAACAAGGAGATGCAAACAACATTTGACGCTCACTTAAAAGTAAGTGAAAACTTAACGCATACTTAACGCTGCATTCACAGATTTCGGTAGTCGACTTAGTTGTGCGACACAATTTTGCGAAATGTGGTGAAATTTTTAAAGGCGAGTGTCCTTACGACATCATTAGTAGAGTTAGTCATATAAGTTTGGTTGAAAAAAAGGAGCGCAGAAGCGCCAAACCGTACTCGGCCATGCTTAGGCCACCTTTAGTCCCATTGTGCTATCAAGAAGCCCAATATAATAGGTTGTCAAAAAAGTCTTGCGGTATTTTTATTGAATTTTCAATTGTTGATAACATTTTTTTTGATGATTCATGCCCAGCTCTTGACCGATGCTACGGCTGCTACTATGCCGGTCTCTTTCGACCAATTCAATGATTTTATCGCGATTTTCGACACAGGCCTTCCGGAGCGTGGCGCATCTTCGACCACCTCTACACCAGAACGAAAACGTTGAAACCATCCTTGTGTGGTGGAAATGGAAACTGTGTCGTGTTCATAAACTGCACAAATTTTATTGTCGGCTTGAGATGCATTTTTGTCTCTTTGGTAGTAGTACTGTAAAATATGCCGTATTTTCTCTTTATTTTGCTCCATGTTTGCGACGCTATAACTCACGAACAACTTAAAAGAAACGACAATCAATCAAACACGTGTTAGCGCGTGAAATAAGCTTTCCAAAACGGTATAGCATGAACCGATGCGACGAATAAAACWAGAACTACGCGCTCTCAGCGCCAACTAGCGAAAATACCGCCATTTTTTTTTTTGACAACCTAATATTTGGGAGCATAACTTTAATATTCTGGCGTATCATCATTCTCCGTCGAATCTACTCTACTGAGTTCCCAACTTGCCATCAGCATACCGTTAAGTCTGTATGCTTGACATAGCGAGAAAGCTCTATAAAAAGGCTACTTAAACCCAAACTCGAAGCAGCTATCAACGAAGTTGGAGGACTGCTATACAACCTAGCAGCAGAAGGATCAATTCAAAGCCCAATTTTATAGAACATCAGCCTATGACGCCATACTAAAACTTGAAATGCCAGAGGAATCGTACCTAATTGATTAATTAGGTCGGACGCGAGCATGGCTCAGCTCACACAACGTCCAGCACGCTACGGAAAAAACAGAGCTACTACTGCTAACAAATAAGCACATACTCCTCGATATAAGTATGTAAACGACTATGGATATGCTTAGGACACAGAAGGCATAAGACTGGATYGCCGACTAACCTTTTGGCATACGAACGGTAAACGCTGTGGGAGCCAAAGAAATCATCCGATAAAAAYAGGAGCGCAATACAACAAATRAGGAAARATACAATAACAACATGGCAACGAAGATGGRAGGRTGATAGTCGCGTCAGATGGACGGCCACTAATAAAAAACATAAACTCTTGGAYAAGCCGTAAATTTGGAGAAGTCGACTTTTACACAACCCAGCTGTTGTCCGGTCACGGATACTTCAAAAAGTTCCTCCACAGAACGGGAAAAGTGGAAGAGGCGGCATGCTTATACAACGACGCGACAGAGGACAACGCTGAATAAACATTCCTTGAATGCAATGGGAACACATCACCCTAGAAGACCTGGTTGACCGCGGAATATTTAATCATTTGTCATGCTGGAAAGTGAAGCAAACTGAAAAACGCAAAAAAAGTTGTCGAAATCGGCATATAACTTCACCTGCCCACCAATAATATATTATATATAACAAACTTATTTATTAAACTGAAAAATCTATAACGAACGACTTTATTAATTACTTACTTCATAGATTACAGACGATGTTTAAACAATAAAAATATTAAATTTTAATAATTTCAAACACTATATTACTTTTGTAAAAAAATCGGTGTATCATAACTAGTCAGTGGACAACGAGTCTCGCAAATGAAATATTTTTCGGCATCGCAACGATCATTACTCCACTGACCATTCGCCAAAAGCGACAAACAACTTCTGTCACGTAGWATTTCAAACGGTTTACCAAGCGCCCATCTATTATAGGTAATAGGGCGACCTATGCTTAACCAAACCCAACGATTGTTGTCAGCAAGCTTTGAACCGGATAGCCAAAATTCTTCATTGTTGGAAGCGAGACCTGCATGTAATAATAGAAAGACTTATGAGTAAACTATGAATTAACTGCTGAGAACCATATATTATAAAGGACTTGCCCGTATTCGACAAATATTCCTCCAACAAATCATTCTCCGCTTTCGTATTTATGCTGGCCAATGATAGTCCTTGATAACCGCAAATCTCATGKGCTTTAAACCAATTTGCCCTAATATAGGCCACAACAACAAATGTTTTATCACGTAGTAGACCTGGAAAAGCACGATAGCTRTTGGATTCATCCAAAGCTTGAATGGTGAAGTTTGGAAATATTAAATCCTCATTTGAACCCTGTGTGCCATTATCGGCGATCAGATTTTGTGTAACAAAGCAGAGGAAGAATATGGCTAWAACGTGTTTTAACATTTTGTAAATAAAATATGAAATTTGTATAAAAAAGTTGGAAATAAACTGTTGAAACTGATTTTAGGTRTGGAACTGTGCGTTTTTATAGCTTTTAAGACAATTTAAGGGTTTCAAAAGACTGTTGAGTGAAAAGTAACTAGCAAGTGGCATTAATCATTGTCATTGCTTATCGCCGATATTCGGAGAATTCTGTCACAAGGCTCATTAGTGAACATTTTCGCGCTTCATTTGACTTAGAGAACGAAAGTGTTTAGATTTGATGAATAAAATTTAGTCACGTGTGAAATAATCAGTAAACGTGCTGATAGACAAACAACGTGAAGCATAATAAATTTAAAAAATTCTAGTAAATGTCGTTTGTCTCTATTAGTATTATTGTTTTCTATKAATGTTATGTGCTATTCTCCTTAATTTTGGGCTAAATAATGGGTAGTCGAACAAGTATTTTCGTATTTCTAATTAAACTTATATTTTTATATTTATACTAATAAATAAATAAATAAATATTTACCATTTTGGGCGACCTTTTTTCCGCCAGAGACATTATTTCATTAGCGTAAATCTTTTCTAATTTCTCGGCGAAAGACTGCGACAAGTAATTTTCACAGGCTGCTCTTTAAGTCAACTTTAGTCCATTAAGGGAGTTCTACATTGACCGAAAGAAATGCCAGTCTTATGGGGCAAGGTCAAGACTATTTGGTGGATGCATCAAAACTCCATTCAAGCTCTCCCATTTTTTACCGAGTCATCAACGATGTGTGTGGTCTAGCGTTGTCCTGATGAAAGGCGAAGCACTCTCTGTTGAACAGTTCTGGCCGTTTTTTTCGATTGCTTGCTTCAATCTCATCAATTGTTGACAGTAAAATGTAGAATCAATCGTTCGACCAGGCTAAAGTAGCACATAGTGGATGATTCCTTTGCAATCCCACCAAACACTCGGCATAACCTTTCGAGGTGTCAATCCTGGCCTTGGCATGCTTGGACCATGATCTTTTTCGCATATTATTGTTACCATTCGTTTCAAAAATGGGTCGATTTCATTTCTTTTCAGCAAAGAATTACAATTACAAAATAATTTGGTACCCAAACATCAAGCTTCTTTTTGTAGCCAGCCTTTTTTGAAGGGTTCAAACCCATTTGATGGTGAGTGATAATTTATTTAGCGATGTTACTTTTGTGATGGTCCTGGTCAATCTTTTCATCTTTCACATCGAAATTTCCAGAAYGAAAGCGTACGAACCAAAGTTATGGTACACGAATTGATACAGCATCGTCTCCATAAACTTCACAAGTTTTATTGGTGGCTTACGTGGCATTACTCCCTTTGTTATACAAAAATTTCAAAATATAGCGGATTTCAACATWATTTTCACTCATTTTTGAACAGCTGTAACTTTTTTTCAACTTCCCCACATTATTATTATTTTTTTTGTTTTGGTTAAATGAAGCTAAAAATCTCACCTTTTCAACACTATGTGGTATGACACAATGTGATGGGTGGCACTGGAGATATACGACTGCAACGACACCTAATATGAAAAGACTTTGTGTTCCCAATTTGTGGGTTCGAGAAAGCTTTGTGCGAAGTTGATGATTCGGAGCGGTGTTTGGAGATGTTTCAATGTAATAAACTCGAGTTTTTGCGTCGATATGTAACGGCGGATGAAAAATTACTCCATCATTTTAGTTTGAAGTCCAATCGACAGTCGTCTGAATGGACCGCACACAATGAACTCGCCACAAAGCATGGGAGAACGAAAYAGTCGGCTGGGAAGGTTATGCCTCTGTATTTTGGGATGCGCATGGAATAATTTCAATAGAAAAGGGAAGAACCAACAACAGCGATTATTACATAACGTTATTGGACCGTTTGAAGGACGGAATCGCCGAAAAACTGAAATAAAAGAAAGTGGTGTTTCCCCAAGACAATGCACCGTGTCAAAAGTCAGTGAAAACTATAACAAAACTCCATAAAGTGAGTCTCGAATAGCTTTCGCATCCACTGTATTTTCCATACCTGGCACCCAGCGACAATTATCTGTTGTCAGACCWCAAAAGATTGCTCGATGCGAAGAAAATGGTGATCGCCGAAACTGAGKGCTATTTYGAAACAAARGACAAATCGTACTACAACTAGTAAGGAAGGGCTAAGTTCGRGTGTAACCGAACATTTAATACACTTACAGCTTGCCAAAATTAAAGATCCGGAAACTCCTTCAGGTGGCTGGTTAGTGGAGTGGGAGCCGGAGTTTAATGCTCGAAGATTTCAAGCTTCCATATTACCGGAATGGTCTTCTAGACGAAAGACTTTGCGAAAACCGACTAAGAAATCTAACAACGCAAGAAATAACATAAAGGCTAGGKAACTAGAAATACGGAAATCACGAAAAACGATATACTATGAAATGTCCAAAAGGGCTGACCGAGCGATCAAACGCTAGAATGCCTTAGGAGCATGCAGGATCACCAAGATCATACGCCGAAGACAAACATGCAACCTTTTTAAGCGCATGTTCTTCAAAGGAAATGACGGAAACTTGTGGGTCTAATGAGATATGCTTCTATCCAGCATTATCTAGAACTCGTTTTAGATATCCAGAAGCCTCGAAATTGAAGAGACTAGATGAAATAGCAAAAGTAGATACCATACCGCTTTTAAAGTTCCCAGCTCAAATTACACCGAACCTGTATCTGGTATTACTAAGTACCAGTAGGTCCATGTATGGCGTTACAGACGGTCAGTAAAACCTTTTCTTCACCCACACTCTCAACAAATTGTAAAATAAGTAATAGCTATTTCGACCTACACACTCTCTCTCTCTTCTTCCTGCCATTAGCATTTAGTCGTTGTACTCATTAAGCAAATAACGTCGATTAACGGTTAAACAAAGAACACTAAAGAGACAACTAATAAAAGTAGCAGATAGTTAGACTGAGCGCGAACGCTCGCAAGTGAGTAACAAAGTTTTCAAATAAGCTACAACTACACAGCATCACGAACGGCGGAGCAGATTTCGCCGAAGGTTGCATAAAATATACGGACTCCTGCTCATCCAAGACTAAGCAACGCTGCCACAGTTTTATTTTACACTCCRTTGTTAAATTTTATCACCAATTCCCCGTTTTGTGGCGGCAACTAATTCAGCTKCAGCTTTGACAGTTTTACTTTATTCTAAATGCAATTGCACGCAACTTAATGAAACACATTTGCCGCAATGTGTTGCAGCATTTGCACTRGGATTTTTGCTATGATTTTCATTTCCATTGTCATTATGCAATGATTAACTTAAAACGTTCATTTAAGTCGTTCATCGTTTTTGCAATTAGTAGGAGTAACGGTATTTAAGTTTTATTGCTGTACCATTTCGACGAAGTGACAACAAATGTTTCGTTGGGGACTCAAGTTGCTTAAGAATAGATTGAATGTTGAAAATTGAAGGTTGAAAGGAAAATATACCCCGGCTCTTAAAAAAAAAAATAATTCAACATAATTCTAAAAGAAGGATTTCATATCTTGACTTGGACCATAATCTCTGTTAAATTCCTTGAAGGTAACTTGTGAAATACAGAAGATTTCCGCTTCCGACAAATGAGTAGCTTCAACTATTTTCAGAATATATAGCCAGATGGACCGACAGACTAACATAAATCATTAAATCGACTCAGCTCGCCAAGCAGGACCTTACAGAGTGTCCTGTTCAGGACATTCACATATTTAACAACTCGAACGAAATTTCACGACAGAAGTTCAACTAGGTAATTAACGACATATATTCCAAAGTAAATAACTATCTCACCGATCTTTCGGTAAGCAGCCGGATAGTTTTCTCCATTAAATTTACAGCTATCATATTCATGACCCAAACAAGGGAGTACAGACTGGATTTAACAACACAGTCGATGACATTAAAATTCCGACTGTCAACAACTCCAAGATTTTAGGCGCTATACATGACAACCTGTGCTCAGTGCCAGTGCTAAAGTGAAAAGCCGCAACAAAATCGTCAAGTCGCTAGACGACAGCAGCTGGTAAAAGACAAAGAAACTTTGTTGGCAATATACAAGGCAAGTTGTCGGTCGATCATCAACTACGCAGAACCGATATGGTCGCCTGGATTTAGTCAAAAGTAGAGGAAGAAGCTTCAGACGTGGCAGAACTCGGTACGATTGCAGAATGCCTCTTGATATCTCCGGTCGAACACATACCAATAGTGTGATCTGTATGTTTTCGATGAAGAAACACAAATACTCTGGTTATCCAACCATAGTTGAGCTATCATTCTCAATCCCTACTCCAGCGCTCACGTCGAATACCCTGGATAACTTGAGCCACTTTGAGTGTGATGCTTTAATCAAACAGTATGGAATACAGGTTCGCGGCTTGAGTAAAAAAGTGAGCTTGTTGTGGCCACTCTGAGCTATTCGATTTAAGGGTTGCACAAGGTTGAAGCGTTTGTCCAACAGGTGATGCGGCTGTAAGCGGCGTCTGTTTTGGAGTAAGCTGCTCACTGTATAAACGTTATCAATAAAACTTTCTCCCAAGCTGAGGTTGTGCCACTGATACAAGACGAAGCAAACAGCTTAATGTTGGCAATAAAATCATAGACAATCCTGGAACCAGCGGATGTAGAAACTGATCTGTAAAAGGTCCATCTTGAAAACTTTACCCTGAGGTAATACGAAAGTGGTTCCTGAGCTTCGTAAAACTTTTATGGGAAAAGGAGAGTGGAGAGAGAGTCAATGAGTTAATGGGACACGAATTTTCCAGCACCGGAGAATTCCAGTCTATAGAACACGAGCYAAATAGCTTGATGTTGGCAACAGAATCAAAAACCGTGGAAGCAGGAGGAAATGGAAAATGTTCTGTAATACGTCCGTCTTGAAAACTTTGCCCTGAGGTAATGCGAAAGCGGTTCCTGTGCCGAAAACATTTTTTGAGAAGTTGGGTTAATTCAATGGCTACACCACTCACCTAAGAAGACGATCCCTATATACAACGAATGCATTTTAGCACC